TGTTATGTACATATTTTTGAGAGGGGAAATTCGTCCAATGGCCTTTCCCGCCCTGGGTGAGGCGAGAGAGAGTGTTAGACTCTTACTGATTAAACACCACCCCGTTCCTACTTCTGCCCTCCAACCCGGAGTCTTAGTGAAGTCCTCCGCAGCTCAGCATTAGGCATCTGCTTCAATTGGGCCCCATCTGTGGTGGTCTTATGGCTCTTTGATGTGCCTGACTCTACGATTTTCTCCCGTGTCTTCCGTTTTGTGATGTGTATAAACAGGGTTACACCCAGACCCGGAACAACTATTTGTGGATCACATAGAGAGTTTTTTCAAACAGGAATCGCATATCTCTATTATCACATAATTGACAAAAATCAATATGACTTTTAACATATGCCCCTCTGACTACATCTCAACGAAATTGGCGTTTGTATATATGTTTTAAGCTATAACAAATGCAGTGTATTTGATAACAGCTTTAAATAAAAAAACCTGATAGGTACATCTGTATCAACAATAATATTTCATTCCATATAAGTTTAGTCAGCCATTCAATCAGGGGCATTCCCTTACCCAATCGTAAACAATATGTTTAAATAGGTACCTATAATGTTCCTGCAAATATAACAATGAGAGGAAGGAAATATAGAGCGATTCTAAGAAAAATACCGCCTCCACAGGAGTTTAGGGAAACCCTCTCTTAGCCGTCATCTTCACTTCCCAAGGAACATGCATGTTAAGTTCCAGTTTCCTAGGTCCAGTAGTTTAATTTCGTAGTAAGGGAATCTAGGCGCCTACCTAATATCCTCAAGGAAGACGGCGGCACAGTGCTCACGTGTCACCGTGCACTGCACAGAGAGTCTAAGTAGACCTAATAGGTCTCTATAGGGAGGTGTCGTAACAGGCGTGGGATATCCGGGATTGGTGTACTAAGAGTACCCGGTGCCTCCTTCAGGTGCGGATGTTGGCCACCGGGGAGGTTGTAGTGAGGTAGAAATCACACACTCCCTAGTCTTTTTTCCCCAAAAAGCTAGACGCCTGTTGAAGGTTTCCCCCCGCCAACAGTTAGCTTTGAGTTTGAATAATAAAATTCACATACGTATTTGTGCACAGGACGTCGCTGGTAGAAGCTAATTATACATATTACAGCCCTTCCTCTTGAATAAGTTTATCTATTTAAAAACCTAATCAAAATCCGTTGCGCGGTTTTAAAGATCGAAGCATACATAGGGACAGACAGCGGAAAACGACGTTTTAAACTAAGTAGTGAAGTGTAAAGAATAATAATTATACATATTATACTATCGATTAGGGAAAAGCGTATAAAAATAAACTATAATATTAATATACCTACCCACTTGACTAAAGTATGCAAGTTACTCGAGCTCGAGGGAGTAGCGTGAATTGATGCATAATCACATGTTTGTGTGTCCATTTCTCAGAAACGGATGAATCGATGTCGATGCGATGATATTTCGGTGTAACACTTTATGACACAGATCTTATTCCTTGAAAGGATTCATTTTGTGCAATGTAGGTTAATGATACGCCCATATTTTGTTCTGGCCGGGATTGCGGGTTTCGCAATGATATCGCTGTGGCTCCGGCTCTATGCAGGAATAGGAACGTGGTCGTGTTTGGTCAGTAAGAGTCTGACACTCCCTCTCGCCTCAACCGAGTATGGTGAAGTCATTCTTATATATTTAGGGCCAGCCAACGACTGTTTACACATCATGTCACAACAAATCGGTTTACAATATGCACAAGAGAATACTTATTAGCCTATATTAAATTATTAAACACTAGCTACTTCAGCGCAGTTTCACACGCTCTACTCAGCTCCTATTGGTCGTAGCGTGATGCTTTATAGCCTATAGCCATCCTCGATAAATGCGCTATCCAACACAAAAAGAATTATTCAAATCAGACTTGTAGTTACGGAGATTAGCGCGTTCAAACAAGCAAATTAAAAACAAACTCTTCCGCTTTATATATAAGAAGATATATTAGACTAAATAAGATAAGATAAATACTCCCATAAAGAAAAATCTATTTAAGGTCAACTCACAATAGTAACAAACAGAAGAAATACTTAATATTATGGCAACATAGATTGATAAAAAAAAATTACGAACTCATTCGAAACTTTTTCCAAAAAAAAGAACATGTTTCGTCCGTTCATCATTAATAACTATTATCATTCATTATTATCATGCACATATCAGTCGCGTACTGTCGACTGCTTCCCACAGCATCCCCCAATGACTACGCATCGCCCCAATGACAATACAACACAAAAATTATACAATTCGATTTAGTCATTCCGGATATTAACATAACATAACATCATGCCTTTTATCCCTGAAGGGGTAGGCAGAGGTGCACATTATACCACTGTACAATGTAACACCCACTTTTCACTATTTATGTTATGAGTCCCATGTAATAGGGGGTGAGCCTATTGCCATATACTGGGCACAATTCCAGACTCCGTGCTACTACTACTGAGATTTTTTTTGAAACCCAGTAATACTTTGCCCGACCCGGGAATCGAAACCGAGACCCCTTGCCCGGCAATCACATTTGGCCAACGAGGCAGTTTCGAATATTATCGCGTTTAACCCGTCGTGTGCCGTAACGCAGATCTACGCGAGACACAATGCATTTTCTATTGTGTCTTATATACCGGCAGTGAAGAGGTTAAACGAACAAATCAGTAAACAATATCGTTTTTTACAGACACCGCTAAGGATGGCCCTCTTCCAAGAAAACCCTGAACTAACATCGGTACTCCTGAACGCTGGAGCTGATCCCTTCGACGCTGATGATGAGGACCGGACTTCGTTTCATATAGCTGCTGACAAAAACACCGAACATCTACCCGTATTGCTGAACTACTGTCATTTGAATGCTAGGTAAGTTTTAAGCTAGTTTTGTAGGTAAATATTCGGGTTTGTCAAGGTAGATGGCGGTAGTGTCGTAAATGGATGTCTAGGTGTTTCTTTTTGTGGTATACGAACGTATATCACCTGAGGGCAAGCAATCAACGTCGTTAATACCCGCAATAGTAGAGGTACAAGTGCGTTGTCGACTTTTTGGGGATTAGGAATTTGAGGGTTGTTGGGGTTTCAGGGGTTGGGGAGGGTTTGCAGGGGGGTGATTGGGCATCCGGTAACCTCACTCACACGACGAAACACAACGGTGTGGCCGTGGTATCACTTTGAGCCGAAGCATGGATCTCCCACATTTTTCGCTACTTCAGCTCGACAAACCACAATAACCTCTCATTTGTACGATTTTTCAGGCAATTGTTACATGATAATGAAGCATTATGGAGACCTGGATTTGAGAACAAAACTGATGAAGAATTGCTGCCCATACTTATGATGCATATTAATAAGCAGTACGATTGCCAGGGTGAGTACAATTTATAGTTCGCTGGCCAGCAGGTCGATCTACCCTTTTCTGACCAATTTCTCTAATTGCACTTTCAATTTTATTGTATTGAGATAAAGTCGAGAATCCGAGAAAAATGGAGTGGGTGGGTTGATTTGCCGGCTTCTGTACATATACACAATGAAACTAAACAATTTTAATATAACTAGTAATTTTTTGATTTTTTTTTTATTTCTGCCTCGTTGGCCGAGTGGTCTTAAGTGCGACAAGGGGTATCATGAAATTCTCAGTAGTAGCTCGGAGTCTGGAATTGTGCCCGGTATATGGCAATAGGCTCACCCCCTATTACATGGGACTCATAACATAAATAGTGAAAAGTAAGTGTTACATTGTACAGCGTCATAATGTGCACCTCTGCCTACCCCTTCGGGAATAAAAGGCTTGATGTTATGTACCTTCCTTTAGAATCACTCTATCTATTAAAAAAACCGCATCAAAATCCGTTGCGTAGTTTCAAAGATGTAAGCATACATACGGACAGACAGACGGCGGATAACGACTTTGTTTTATACTATGTAGTGATTGACCGACTTCAAGCCGCTTATTTTACTACTGAGAATTTTTTCGTATGTTAATATAATATAATTATTAATTACAGGGTACACCCCACTCATGGTGGCGAGTAAATCCGGGAGATATAACAATGTGTTGGCGTTAGTGGAGAGTTGTAGGGCCACGGTGAACATGTCCTCGCCCAACAGTGGGATCACGGCGCTCTACCTCGCTGTCAGCGAAGCTTGCATGGATGCAGCAGGTATGTTATACAGGGTAGAATTCTACGATCTCCGGCCACCGTAAGCGCGGGCCTGCGGACGGCGAGCATGGGTGGCTCCCCGTCCGACCAGAAACAGACCCGAGCGTACGGCGCCGACCGTTCCGCGCGCGCCTCAAAGAGCCATCAGACCACCACAGATGGGGCCCAATAGGGCCGATGCCGATTCGGAGTCGCGGAGAACCTAACGGGTAACCGGGGCTCCGGCTCGACGTGCAGGAGAAGGAACGGGGTGGTTTTTAGTCAGTAAGAGTCTGACACTCCCTCCCGCCTCACCCAGGCGGGGGCAGTCATTCCATGATTTTCCCCCCTTAAAAAATACAGGGTAGAATTTTGTAATACCACCTGTAGGGGAAGTACTCTTAATACTTTAGATAGAAAGTTATACTCAAAGAAAACATTCCTTTATTTTTGACTAGCGACCCGCCCCGGCTTCGCACGGGTGCAATATGCATGTATTATACATACAAACCTTCCTTAAGAATCACTCTATCTATTAAAAAAAAACCGCATCAAAATCCGTTGCGTAGTTTTAAAGATCTAAGCATACATACGGACATACAGCGGAGGCGACTTTGTTTTATACTATGTATTGAAGAGAAAGAAAACTGCATACATAGATTATAAAAACATTTGCTTGTTGCACTTGTTGCACAGTTGCACAGAT